GGAAAAAATATAAGATACCTTTTTTGTAGAGCATTAAATTTCCTACAAAATTCGTCTTGAACATTTTTCTGTACAATCAATTAATGATGACGTATGAATTTTATACTATTGGACTGAGAAAAAAATAAAAAACTGCGATGCGGAGGATCTTCCTAATAAAATTAAGAGCTCATATTTGGTGAGAATTGTTTTAAGGTATCTAGTAACCCATTTTTCCGTGGCACTTGTACAAAAAAAAAGTAATTGATTTTTTTGACCCACCCTAATATAAAATTAACCCCTATATATATATATATATATATATATATATATATTAATAAACAAATTATACCAATTATCAAAAGAAATAAAAGAGGAAATCGTGCTACGCTCGACCACGAACTTCGTAATATGAATTTTTTTCTTTTTATCGAAAGAAGAAAAAATTCAAAAACAACACAACAACAACAACAATGACAATACAGAAAACAAGAAGAGAAAAATAATATTTACCCGTTTAAAATTGCACCACTTTGCACCACGTAATAAACAAGTCTTTTATCACTATATCACACAGTAATATATTATACTATACACGCGCGCACACACACTCACACTCACACACACACACACACACACATACATGTGAACACCAAATATATATAATTAAATGACCAGAGGATTGACGGTGTGTGGTGAGCTTGGTGTTTATAACTGTAGAAGTGTCTATATTACATTTTCTGAAGATATTAAACACGCATAATTAAACACGTACACACAAAAAAAAGAAACAAAAAAAAAGGAAATACAGCTGGCTGTCTTGTTTGTTTTTCCGTAGGTCTCTCTCTGTGAATTTTCTTATATTTGTACTTCTCTCTGTATGTGAGTGTATGCGCGCGCGCGCGCGTGTGTGTGCTCTTTCTCTTTGTTAGTTTGTAATAATCGTCGAATCACATTTTCCCTCTCCACTCATTTAATCAATCAATCAATCAATCACTTTTACATCTTTTATCAATCCCTTTCAACGCTTATCACACTTATAATCAATTTGAGACCATTCTTCATCGCCATTTCGGATTCAAAGGGTGGAGGAGAAGAAGAAGAAAAAGAAAGAGGAAGGATAATATTTAAAATGCCGATTCATTTTTCTCTTCTCTCCTTCATATTACTCTCTCTCTCTCTCTCACACACCACAATACAGTAAAATATTATTTCTCTTTCCCGTATTTACATCTTTTTAGCTAGCCAGACATAAAAAGAATAATTCATCTAACGTTGTACGCATTCGTACAACGATTTTATTTGCTTTTTTTTTTGCTTTTTATTTAATCTTTTTTGGTTTTCCTCTATCAACGATGTTTATTATTCATTTTGTATCGAGATTACTCGTTATACATATATATATATATATATATATATATATATATACAGTATACAGGGTGGGGCAATATCTCTGTCCAGTTAGAATATTGTCGTTGTTTAATAGCAAAAGTTTAGAAATGATAAGACATGTACGCGATGCAGCAATACGAAGATTACAACTTTGCATTGGCGTTAACGGTCACCAATTCGAACATCTTCTGTAATGTAAGAAACTTTATTTTCTACCACATTTGGCCTCGCATGACCTTGAATAATAGCTCGTTGAATTCATCTCAACATTTTCCATCACATCCCATTAAAAAAAATATAATATTCATTTTAAAAAATGCAGGCGACCTTGAAATCTCCTCTATGCCTCCACCCACGGAAAAAACATTCAAGCCAAAAAATGCCTCTCATCATGCCGTGTAAGTTGCGTATATAAAATTTTTCATATTGTTATAAACAACGACAATATTCTAACTGGACAGAGATATTGTCCCATCCTGTATATATTTTATTCTAGGTCGCTGACATTTTTTTCAAATTCACTAGATGTTTGCTTTTATCGATGTAAATATATAATATATGTATATATATATACATACATATAACTACTATCAAATTTTGTTAGACACAACGAAAAGATCAGTCGTTTGATAATACTTTTGTTTTTCTTTTTTTCTTTGTGCGCATAATTTGCAATACAAAATAATGCATTTGAAATAGAATAAATGCATTTACGTTAAAAATATAAATCATAAATGCCAATCCATTTCGAACCGTTCATAATTTTGTTGTTGTTGACATATTTGCTTACACATCAATTGAAAAATATCGCAAGTACACGTGCATTAATTGCATCTATCGATATGAAATAAAATAATGCAATTGTGATAAAAATATAGCAGTGAATAATGAAATCATTTGTTTTTGTCCTCTAACATTTCTTTCTAATTACGGTTTAATGACTTATTATGGTTTTTCAAAATACCTCAGAAACTAATCTCTTTTCGATTAAAATGTTTATTAAATTTCCATCATTAAGCAAAAAATTACAAAGAGGCTTAAAATTTCATAACAAAATTATCTTAAAAACAAGTTTTTTCTACTATAAAATATACCCCCTTAAAGTAATATATAATATAACATTTTTCTCAGCATTTTTACGAAACTAAAAAATATTGAAAACATTTAAATTAATAATATTTATTTTACAATAAATATACGTATATACGTACATGACACAAAATTAAAATAATATAAGATTTAACAAAAAATTCTATTTAATTTTCATAAGTTGTGTTAAGCAATGACCAAAAAAATAATAAGAAAAATAATATAACTAAAACATCACATGAGATTACGATAAAACGAATCAGAGAAATCATTCAACGAGTTGCAAAAACGTTTCATTTCATTTGTTCAATATGAAAACGTGAGAATAAGTCATAGTTTTATTAAATCATTCTACCCTTCGTTGATGGGAAATATGAAAGGGATGTTTAGAGTTGCAGTAAGGGTAGTTATCGAATTAAACTCGTTCGCGTTTCTAAATAGAAATATAAAAATCGAAGTAGACGATCATGTGCCACGATTTGATGGTATGTACTATATCTTGAAGTCAAGATATTCTTCGAGCTTATTGTTAGTACTTGACGGACGCATCGATCGATCTCTCTATCTATCTATCTATCTATATCTCTCTATCTCTTTCCTTTCTCTTCTCTCAAAGCCTAACCCCTCTTTCCCTCTTCCCTTTTTTACCCCTTCATCATTTATTTTATACCAGAGACCTCTTATGGGAACTCGGCGCCAACCGCAATGTTTATCCCACTACAAGCACCGATCGATTCTTTATCCCTGATAGTTTCACACATACACATATATATTTATACACTTACAACCCTTACACACTTTACATTTTCATTTCTTTCTTTGTTTCTTTTCTTTTCTTTTTTTTTTTTTATCTTTTTGTCACTCTCTTTCAGAAAAGAATTCTTTTACAAAAGAAAACGATCAGAATATACGACAAATAATTGTAAAAATAAATAATAAAAAAAAAGGCTTTGAACAAAATTTCATTTATGATTTGTTAATTTTACTTTCGAAATATGTATCTGTTAATTTTCAATGAATTTTGTTCTAAGATATTAAAGTTTAGTAATTTAAATTTCTGATCGTTTTCTTTGGTTGAAAATAAAAAAAAATAATATGTTAAAAGTTAGCATACATCAGCAACAAGAAGAAGGTATACGAGATAAAAAGAACACTTGTCATGTACATCTCGTCATCCATTCATCATGGTTGTGATCCTTCATCTTTTTCTCGTTTCTCTCTTATGTATTTCATTCTTCACCGACGACATCCGTTTTTCCTTGAGCAACCAACCATTTTCTCTGTACGTCTCCAATCGCGAGCGAATTTTGTCACGTTCGCTTTTCACAAAAAAGTCCGTGGTATTCAAATTGTTGGTGGTTTGGGACTTGAGTTCATTAATTTTTGCATGCATCCGTCCACTTGTTGTACTGTACGAATCGTTTCAAAAGTTTCTGTCGTTAATATATATAGAAATTGTTATGCAAAATCTAGTATCGTTTATATATATAAGTACTTATATATATATATATAACATACACATACAATATTATACAAATTCGTAACATAAACAAATGTATTGCTTGATATACATGGTGAATATCTCCTAACATGATGACACTTTAAATAACTTTTAAGTTATTCATTGTACTAAAAAATGTTTCAAACTAAAATTGTATGTTACATACTGTGCTTTAATTTGTTTTTTATTATCTTAATTTTTTTTATTGAGATATTAAGCTCATCTATGGTTTTTTAAATACTATATCTAATATTTTTTTTAGAATTCGGATTAATAATTAAATTTTGTATTAAAAAGGTATTTCTTAAAAAACAGATTAGAGCATTTTATAAATCTCTAGATGTCTTGCAACTTTTGTTTGATACCTTTTTTTTCGTACAACGAATAATTTACGAGTCCTTTGAGGAATCTTCATGTTAGAAGACTCATCCTGTATATAACGCGAATTGTCTAATTGTTTAAATGAAATAAATTATCCCGGTGTCTCTATTTTTTTTCTCTTTTTTTTCTTTTTTTCTTGTATCCCCCCCCCCAATATAGTTACAAATACAAATACAAATTTGAATAATAAAACAAACAGCACGTATTACTCGTTCGTTACACTACTTTACGACGATATATATATATTATTTAGACATATACTATACGTTAGTTTTGTATAGCTCGTATTTACATTGTTTTAAATAATTATATTATTCGGAGTTATGCTACAAAAAAGATTGTTCAATATGTTCTCTCTAATAATGATATTCATTTCTTACACAAGATTAGCGCAATTAGTTAATTTGTTTGTTGGGAAATAAATAGATAGACAAATAGATAGAGATAGATTATAAAATATAATTAGAACTCGCTCGCCTAATCAGGACAAAGGATCGAGATACCACATCTGAGTTCTAATCAACGAAATCGTTGATAACATTTTCGAATGGGTACACTACTTTTTTTATTTTTTTTTTTTACAAAACGATAAAACTTTTTTTACGCTATATCTGTAAAAAAAATAATCGACAAACGTGAAAATTAATAAGAAAAAAAAAGATCAAAAGAAATTAAATTTCAAAATCCACATCTTTTTTTTCATTGGCAACTTAATAAACGAAAGGAAAGAAAACAAACAAAAAAAAAAAAAACAGAAAAAAGAAAGAAAAGATATTTCAAAAACAAAAAAAGGGCAGCATGTGCACAGCATGGCTCAGAAACAGCTTCCGCCAGTAACAGCATTAACAGCTTAAGCCAGCGTAATACCTTGCTTACAAGTTTTTAAGCGCACTGAACTCAAAGGAAATAAAAAATAAGGAAAAAAAAAGAGAAAAAAAAAATATATATATATGTAAATAAAATTTAAATAAGAAAAAAAAAGGAAAAGATAAGAAAAATAATAATAAAAGAAAGAAGAAAGAAAAAGTAAGAAAGAAGGAAGGGTTGGAGGGAGGGTGGGAGGGAGGTATAAAAGAAAAGAAGGAAGAAAAGAATGAGGGAAAAAACATCGATACAGCAGCCTTACGATCGCCTTGTAAATCCTATAAATCGGAGTTTAATGGCGATTGTTGAGACTCTGACGTCGATCGATTTTACGTGTTCACGATGTTACCTTCAACTAATCGAATGTTGGGTCAATATTAAACGACCTAACGCACAATCCGGATTGTGTTTTAAATCTTGATATTTTTTTGTGTATACATACTAAGTGAGCCAAAAGTTTGTTAAGTAATTTTACAAATTTTTTAACACACTTTTTGTAGAAACAGGTTTTTTTAATTGAAATTGTAAAGAAATTACTAGATCCTTGGTTTTGTGAGATCTAAAAAAAAAATAAAAATAAATTGTCTAAAGAAAAAAATAATTAATGAATAAAATCACTTGATAACTTTTGACAAGCTTTGTGCTTATGTGATATTTCAAATTTCGATAGTAGAGATAACAGATAAGTAGGAGGTAAATATCGTGAACAAGGAAATAACAAAAAATACGACAGTACACTTTTATTTCATCAATTTGTTTCTGTTTCAGGAACCTTGACCGTCAACGTGAGCGTGTTGCTGCTGAGTCTGGCCTCACCCGACGAATCCAGTCTGGTAAACTGGAACTCTTTTAGCTTTTTCGAGATCGTCTTTCAAAAACAATAATGTCCATTGTGTGTAAATAAAATGTCATTCGTCGATAATTCGTTTAATAAAAATTAGATTAAATAAAATTGTATATACATTAAGGTGGGTCAAAAAAATGACTTATTTTTCTTTTTTCAAGTGCCACGGAAAAATGGGTTACTAGACACCTTAAAAAAATTCTCACCAAATATGAGCTCTTAATTTTAATAGGAAGATCCTCCGCATCGCAGTTTTTTATTTTTTTTTTCAGTCCAATAGATTAAAATTCATACCTCATTATATATTGATTGTACAGAAAAAAGTTTTAGCCGAATTTTGTAGGAAACTTAATGCTCTACAAAAAAGGTATCTTATATTTTTTCCGTAAACCTCACCATTTGAATGATATTGAAGATTTATGTTTGATTATTTTAAGACAAATTTCATTTTTGTTTATGAATTTTATAACTCGACAATAAAGAACAATTAAAAAATGCGCAGTACAAATTTTTGTAGAAAATTAACTGCTCTATAAAAATGGTGTCATGTTTTGGCGATTAAATTAAGCGTTCAAATGATATTCAGAGACAAAAATCAGTACACATAAAAGTTTGATGATGAATATCTTTAGAACGCTTCATTTAATCGCCAAAACATAAGACACCATTTTTATAGAGCTGTTAATTTTCTACAAAAATTTGTATTGCGCATTTTTTAATAGTCATTTATTGTCGAGTTATAAAATTCATAAACAAAAATGTTTGTCTTAAAATAATCAAACTTAAATCTTCAATATCATTCAAATGGTGAGGTTTATGGAAAAAATATAAGATACCTTTTTTGTAGAGCATTAAGTTTCCTACAAAATTCGTCTTGAACATTTTTCTGTACAATCAATTAATGATGACGTATGAATTTTATACTATTGGACTGAGAAAAAAATAAAAAACTGCGATGCGGAGGATCTTCCTATTAAAATTAAGAGCTCATATTTGGTGAGAATTTTTTTAAGGTGTCTAGCAATCCATTTTTCCGTGGTACTTGTACAAAAAAAAATAGTTGATTTTTTTGACCCACCCTAATATACATATATAAATAATCGCGAAAATTGAGGATGCAACGATCTTGTCAAATGTATTCAATCATTTCTTTTTTGTTACTTGAAATATTGTTGTGAAAAGCTTGCAAAGAGAACAATTTTTTAATGTGATTTTGATACATTGTTTAAACTTTGAAGTATTGTTGTACCAAGTGAACTATACTTAATAAGACACTTCATAAAAGTTATTAATTTGATAGCAAATAACATTAGAACGAATCATTCTTTTTATTTAATACAACTAATATGGAAATTATGTAAAAATCATTTTTTAACGAAAAAATTTGAATCAAAGTTGTTTATCCTTTCACCCTAATATACCTGTTACTTATTTATTCACGCGTTTCTTGTTTTTTTTTTCGTGTTTCTTTTTCCACTAAAGATGAGCTCGATGAGATACAGAAATAGAGCATGGGGAACGTCCATAAAATAAAAATTGCCTTTACATGCGAGGCAGTTCTTGACTATAGAAAATTATGTTCGGTAGTGGCCTTGCACGAACATAAGTTGTTCGCGCCGTTATTTGTTACGAAGTTTTTCTCGCGATAACTTTTATAGAACGCGACAGTCAAGTAATTCTTACATCGGTTGCAAAGGCCAACCGTTCTGTGAATATATAATGAATTTCAAAGATTTCTATCCTCTGTATGTAATCTTTTCTTACGTATGTATATGTGAGAAAGAGAAAAAGAAAAAGTATGATCAAATCATTCATTTTTCTTTTTTATTATTTTCAAATCGTCAAACTTTGTATATTTTTCTTCAAAGCAATTTGAAACAGAAAAAAAAACATTTACATGATTTTTACAATGCAACAAAAAATTCACATTTTATAAAACCCATAGAATTCAAATAAATTTCTAAGGAACATCGTAAATGTGTTTGGTTTTAAAAATATTATGAATACAATAATACAATAGAAACATTTTGAATGAAAATTATTAATCATTAAATTTGACAAATTGTTTCTTTATAAGATAAACAAAAAAACATTTGATATTACTTAAAGAGAAAAATCTTGAAAAATATTCTAGTATCAAATTGACGATCTCGATACAAGCAAAGAACATGAAAAAGAGAAGGAGATGAGATGGTATTCAGATAAAAAAAGAATAAGAAATGCGTTTCTAATTATAACTCTGTCTTCTATTTTTCTATCATTTTTTTTCAGAAATACGAAGTGGAGTTCCTGTTGCAGCAACAGTGGTTCGATCCGCGGTTGCGTTATAGCAACAGATCGCGATACGAATTCCTTAATGCGATACACCATTACGACAAAATCTGGCTACCGGATACGTATTTTATAATGCACGGCGATTTTAAAGATCCCCTTATACCGGTTCACTTCGCTCTGCGAATATACCGCAATGGCACCGTCAACTATCTTATGCGGTATTTGTCTCTGTTGTTTTTCCTATTATTTTTTATTCCATTTCTGTTGTATCCAAAAGATACACAAAAAAATAACTAAAATAAAAAAATATCAACAATAATCAAAAGTTTCGAATAAACACATTAATTATCCCCGTACTTAAATTTATCATGCATTTCATTTAAAGGACACAATTTATTATACTGGTATAAGATGATTATACCACAACATAAGATGATTATACACTAAGTAAATTAAATATAATTACATTATAAATTATATGAGAATAATTAAATACTGTGATATAAAATAATAATAATTATTATACTTATGTACTTATTAATTTTGATTTAAAAAGAAAGAAAGAAAAAAACATATTTTTTTATGGAGTATTCGAAACTTTTGACCAAGACTGTAGTTTTATACCATAAAGCACCCTTAATACTCGTGTGTGTATATGTAATCGTGCACATACTCGAGCAATTTTCTTATAATACGCTTTGCTAACAATAGAAGTCGTTCATATATATGTATATATATATATATATAAGTATTACACATACTTTCAGGTATATCCCGTTTGTTTTACTTTGAAACGTAAACTATTATACAAGGGAGCGTTTATTTAACGAACGAGTTTACTTATTTTCGCACGTGCCTTTTATTCCAGCCAATACACGCACTATTATTAAGGATAAAATTGAAAAGATAATTAACGATAATGTCGATAATAATTAACGATGTAATTTCGATAAAAATGTCTGTAAAAATTTCGATGACATTGTGTTGACATCGTAAAAAATGAATAAATCTTTATCACATTTATTTTATGTCAAACATTTGATTTTTTTTTACGATTAGTGAGAAAATCACATTGTCGCAAAGTTTGTTGAATCCATTCACACATACAGAGAAATGCATTAAAAAGTTTGTCTAGTGAGAAAGAGAAAGTTACCTTCTTGACGGATCGTCATAAATCAACGACGAAGATTGGAAGTAAGCGTTAAGGGAATTGCTTGAAATAAAAACGATACATGTGTAAACTTTCTTTGCGTTTACTATTATATGAAAGATTTAAAAGAAATATGATGTGTTTCGTATTTGATAAATGATAACAATTATTAATTAAAGGATAGAAATTTGAGAATATATATACGACTTTTTAATATAACATTTTATTTCGCTATTAACTTTTATGAAATTGTATGACAAATGTATTATATTGTATGTATGATTTTCTCACCTAACGTATATTACTAGCTCGGTTAACTTATTATAATATAATTAATAATATAATGTTTTTGTATAATAGTATGATATCAAAATGGTTAACGAGTAAGGTAGAAATTTATTATAGAAATGTCAGTAAATATGAACATTTGTTGTACTTAAAATTTTAGACAAAATGTCATCATTTTTTTATATTTCAGATTATACTAAAAATGTTGAAATATTGTATAAAAAGTTTAACCTAAAGTTTCGAAAAAATATCGATAATTTTGTACTAAATATGTCAAAAAAAATTAACTAATGTTATTCTATCTTAAAAAATTGTAATATAAAATTTCTATATTAATTATTAAGCAATTCAATGCATATATAAATCTGTAAACGTATACAGTCAACCCTCCTATAACGCGGTGAGTGCGTACCGCGTTATATGGAAACCGCGTTATAAGAAACTCGGATTTAACCGTACAAACCAGGCTAATTCGTAGCGCGTTCTATGGAAACCGTCTACCGCGTTGTATGGAAACCGCGCTATAAGAAACGCAGAATTAGTACACATCACATCATTCGTACCGCGTTATATGGAGACCAATAAGGACAAGATAAATTATAAATTATTTTTATTGAATTGAAGAGTTTATATAAAGAAATGATACCAAAACTAAACTAAAAAACTGTTAGAATTAAAACAGAATTTTAACCGATTTAGAATTTCGATTTTATCTTCAAGAGATATAAACTTTCTTTTTAACCCTTTCCTTGTTTCTTTCGTGTTTGACATGATGCAAATCTAGGGTTAATAATTACTTTATTATTATTATATTAGAACAAATGAAGAATATTACTTACAGTATTGTAATAATATATATATATAATATATATAAGAGGGCTGTCGCATTTTCAGCTCCGCGTTATATGGAAACCGCCTTCTGAAAGTACCACGTTATAGGAGGGCTGTCGCATTTTCAGCTCCGCGTTATATGGAAACCGCGTTCTGAGAGTACCGCGTTATAGGAGGGTTGACTGTAAATCAATCAAAAAAGTAAAAATATTATTTACAAATAATTGTTATAAATAATTTACAGGCGTCATCTAATCCTATCCTGCCAGGGTAGACTCAATATCTTCCCATTCGACGACCCACTGTGTTCATTCGCTATCGAGAGCAGTGAGTAATCAAAACAAAACACATCATTATAATTATATTGTTTAGTGCACCACGTCTTCTTCTTCGAAATTTTACGTTAGATTAATTCATCGTCACGTTATCATCTATGAAAGTTAATAAAAATTCTAGTTTTTTATGATTTTTCGAAGCATTCTATAGAATAACCGAGTTATTATTTTATGTTATTATTATATTATTATTTAAATATAATAATTAAAAATAATAATATTATAAATAATAATAATAATAATAATATCATAAATATAATATAAAATATAATATAATATTATAAATATATTATTATTATTATTTATGTTATTTTATTATTATTTTATAGTATTCTGTAACATAACTGACCCTATTTTATTTCTTACAATGATTAGTCATTTCATACATAATTGTAAAAAATTCACCACATATGCGAAAAATCATTTCGAGTTGCTGATTCATCAGAGCGAACAAAATTGCCTCGAATACAAAAGGGTTAATATAATGTAATTCAATGACACGAAATGACAATTATACACGTATTTGTTCAAGAACTTTTAGAGAAAATTTTTTTGTAATCTTCACAGTATCGTACGAGCAGACAGCGATCACGTACGTTTGGAAGAACGACGAGGGTACGTTACGAAAAAGTCCGAGCCTGACATCATTGAACGCTTACCTCATTAAGAACCAGACAATCACGTGTCCGATTAAAGTAAGCTGGCGAGGTGAGTCTTATAAAAAAAAAAGGGAAAAACAAGAAAAAAGAAATAATTTGTGATCGTGATCGTCCAAATAATATATCCATGAATTATTATTATTTTCATTAATATTATTATTATCATCTAATTTCTCAAGTTTTTTTTTCTCTCTCTCTCTCTTTCTCTCTCTCTATTCCACCTTTTTTTCCTACATTCTATTTTATTTTCTTTCCTTCCGATTCTTTTCTTTTCCTTTCTTTCCTATGCGTATATACAAGGTGTCCTGTAATTGATAGTATAAGTAAGAGGTGATTTTGCATAAAAAACTAATGCAATTTAAAAATGTAGAATACAATTACTCATATAAAGCTTTATTTTTTGAAAAAAATGAGTTTGAAAATTGTATAGTTAATGCAGTTTCACTATCCTACTTGGAATATTTCAGAGAGTATTTTTGTACTTTTTAATATTATTTTCGAATATTATCTCAGTACGATAATATCTTTCATATCAGTTTTTACTCTTATGCATATCTAAGAAAACTTTTAATTTCCATAGTTGTAAGCTCAGTCAAATGTACTCGTACTAGATACATTTTGAAACTTATTTTTCTCCAAAACCAAGATCTTACATGAAAAAATTTTATTCTATCATACATTTTTGACTTCGATTAGTTTTTCATATAGAATCACTTTCTGCTTCCTTGTACCACCAATTATAGGACACCTGTACAAATATAGTAAAGAAAAAAAAATCAAATAAAAAAATCCTTCTAAAATCTTTTTTCTTGTATTTATATATTTCCTTATTTTATATATATTTTTTTCAAATAATATATTATAGTTATTTATTTTACGATTTAACCAATGAAAAAAATTAACGACATATGGTATATACTTCGTTGCATTTACGATTGTTTATTAAAAAATCAACAGCGCTTATCACGTAAAATAAATAAATGTATATATATATATATATATATATATGTATATACATTTATATCACAAGTGCACTAGACATGCCCGGTCTCACCAAAATGATTAATTTATTTTTGGCTTTATTTTTATTTTTTATTTTATATTATAATCGCTTACACCACTCGCACTCGCAATTATTTCCTTATTGTATGCATATAGTCGATATTTTTTATACGGATCAGTCGTTCTAATCTCCGAATTTTAATTACAATTACATATATAATATATAACCTCTATATCTGTACAATACACTATAATGTCAAATGATGATAAAAGACAATGAAAACGACAAAGACGATAATTACGACAACATTGACGATAAAGATGTTATTTGTAATCTCGATTATTCTTTTCTCAAATTTTTAAAAATTTTATAATTATTTTCCGTTCTTTAAAAAAAAAGAAATCTAATGAAACAAATTTAGGTAAAAGATAAAAGTTAATAACTTCATTTAATCTTTCTCACTACAAGTCTCCCTCTCTCTCTCTCTCTCTCTCTCTCTCTCTCTCTTTTTCTCTCTCTCTCTCTCTCTTTTTAATATCGATTACCATTACATTTTTATTCTTTACTTTTATAGCTAGATAAAAAAAATAAAATATAATAAAATATCACAAAAGCACGTACGTGTGTGAACAATCGGTTAAATCGATTCTTTCAAGAAAATCCATTTCGTCTGTATGGACAAATGTGATTTGATAAGAAAAAGGGAGAAAAAGGTAGGAAATAAGAGAAAGAATGAAATAGAAAAATTGTTTGTCCTTTCGTCAACACAACAGAACAACCTTCTTTCTATTCGATTCGATCTTGTCTACTCGATTATTATCGACGAAATTTGAAGATAAAAATGTGAGAAATGATCGACGATCTCGTTCCCTTTTCTTTATTTTTTTTTTATCTGTATGTATATTCCCTTTCTCACTAGTCAAGGTAAGTTATTGCTCATGCATAAATGTTATTAGGTATTTACAATATATATGTATGTATGTATGTATGTATGTGTGATTTATGTATGAATTCATGCGTACGAAGAAAAGCTAATTCACTGGCACTTTTTCTCTTTCATTTTTTTCCACATAAAAATTGCTTTGGTCAGATGATTTTTTTTAATGTAGTAATATTTCTTTAGCTAGCGAATGACATCAAATAAAATGACATCTCAAGAATCCCTCATCTATCAATAAATACTTACTTATATACTTTAAATTATTCTAACGCGATCACTCGATTAACATGAATTTAACTGAATTATAAATTAACACAGCTTTCCGTAAATTAAATTTACAATAAATACAAAAATAAGCACGCTTCTTTATCAAAAAGAATAGAAAGAGAGAAACAGAAAGATAATACGATAATTTACAAAAAATCGATATATTTTCATAATAATTACACAATTTTCTACGATTAAACAAAGTACAAAATTTGTTAAATAAAAAACAATCCTTTTTTTCTATTTTTGTTGTTGTTTTTTTACAAACAGGACATTACATTAATCAACACGCTCAATCATTAAAAAGAGGAAAGAAAGAGAGAGTGAGAGAGAGAAAAAGACAGAGAATGAGAGAGCGAGAGAAAAAGAAACAATTAAAGTGCATAATGTGCATAATGTGCATGCAATTTAGTAACAATGTTCGACGTTCTATATTTTAATTGTATACCTGTATTTTGTTATTTAGCTGAATTTATATATTAGAACGATATATGCATATATACTCAATATATATAATAAAAATATTATATATGGTATTTGAAAAAAAAAACATATATTTTTATTATATATATATAAAATGATATGTTAGTAAGAATAGTTCCCTTAGAAAATGCATATTGGCAACCTTGGTTCCTGTCTCGCTTTTCAACCGACCCGCCGTGGTTTGCTTTTGGGGTGAAGCTTCTTTTTCGTCCCTTAACGATCTCTTAACGTCTCTTTTAATGCCAATTTTTCTCCCTTCCTTTACATGTACATCAATACTACAGTATCATTACTACTAGTATTGTTACTACTATTACATTACCTTTTTTTTCTTCTTCTTCTTAACCGATATACTTGCTCTGATATCGATGATTATCATAAATTATTAAAAATGATAGAATAACAATAATGCAACATAAACAAAAAACAATACAAAAAAAGAGATTTAAAAAAATTTAAAAAAAAGAAGCAGTCTTTTCACCCTTACAATTGAAACAAAACGATTTATATACAATTTTGAATTAGACTGCAATAACAACACCGATTGTGTGTGCACAGATTTATTGTAAACACTATTGAGTGAAATTAAAATATTGCAATTTTCGCAAGTAACAATCTTTGCAATATAAAGCTTATTTTTATTTTTACTTAACAATAACGACTTACTTTTTTTTTTGTATTTTTTTTTTCAAAAGTTGGGTTTAAATGTCTGCTTTTTTTCTTCTTCTTCTTCTTTTTATAATATTGAATAGATATTTCGAGTAACATCAGTCAATGTTGCACTTTTTGATGAGTCTAGGAATTATTCGAGACAAAAAGAAAAAAAATTACCTCGATCGGCGATCGTACGTCGATTTTGTTTGGATTTTATTTATTATATTTGAAATTTATTGCTTTTCTTATCAAGAACATCGAAATAGAATTACATCAAAGAGGAACCTTTGTAGAATACATCTGACCTCACTCGATTTCCTCGGAGAATAGAAAAGCTTTTGTATAAAAATAGGACTGCTCCGATCCTTCTTTACCCTGAAGGATTCAACCATGGCGGAAAACGGATATGCTTGGTCTAGTTAGTTAACATTATCCACTGTATATGTACGAAAATAGATACGTGTACGATCTATAGGTACAACGGCAATATCCAGGCCGAGAACGGGGACGATAATAAAAAAAGCTTCTATGGTATATAAAAAGATTCGGAGGACGGATAGATCTTGGTGATGTAAGACTGTCAAAAGAAAAAAAAACCAACAAATTTGAGAAAACTTTTTTCTTGACCACCTATTTACAAGATAACACTGAGAAAATTAATGATTCTTCTTTTTTGTAAATTAAAAAAATAATAGCAGCAGCAAATTTCTTTTCCATAAATTGAATAATGATTTTTTTTTTTTAATTTAACTCTTTGCACTATAATAATTATTTCCTATAATTTGTGTTTGTGTGTGTATATGTATTCTTTAATGACAATATATTGATTTGTATTATTTGTTCATTTTAATATTACACGTATTAAATACAAATACCTTACCTATATATACTTTGAAAAACATTATTCTTATCGTTTCATTTAAATTCTGAAAAAGAAGAAGTATTACGTTTACTAGTAACGATCATAGTGCAAAAGGTTAACCATAAAATCCTCGAGATTTATCCGTCCCTTTTTATGGAGAAAAATGATAAGACGAAGTAATAATAATATAAAAAAAAATATATACATATACATAAAAGAATAAAAAGAAAGAAATACTAGAAAGAAGAAAGAACGAGCGCGTGGAGAAAAAAAAAACATAAATAGGAAGGAAGATCGTGGGCTGTTCTGTTGCAGCTGAAGGACAATTCATCGACTACGAGGACGAGTTCGATGAGTTCGGGGACTCTAAGTGTTCGCTGTGCCAGCGCAGGTTTGAGGAGCAAGGTAAATTCCTCCTGCCGCCCCTCACCCACCCACCCCCTCATGCCAAGCCGAATCCCGCATTGTTCGTGTGTTTTTAATCGAATTTTCATTAACCAAACCTTTTTGATATTCTCTCCTAAATTTACCCTTACCCTATAAACCCCCACTCTTGTTATTTAACCTTATCAAAATATTTCTCGAAAAAAAAACCCCCACTAAATAGCAAAAAAGGGAGGAAGAAAAAGAAAGAAAGAGAGAAATAGAGAGAGAGAGAGAGAAAGAGAAAGAGAAAGAGAAAGAGAGAAAAAAAAGGAAAGAGAGAGACAGGACCAAGCTTACCAACCCGCGAGACACGTGCCAAGATTTTCTACCCTTCCCTCACTGTACAATAATATTTTAGTAGATTCGATGTCGCTTTCTATAGTAACAAATTTTTTAATAAAAGATCATCCATTGACCGATGAATCGTTTTTAACGCTATAACGTATCAAATGGTTAAGTAGTGTCTTACTATTTGGAACAAATACGTATATGTAAGTGTTTTATATGTATGTACGTATATTATATACTGGATTTTTAATATTTAAGTTATCGGTGATTATAAAATTGGTCTACATTTCTTTTTAGTTTCTTTTTTTAAATAATTCTCTTTTGATTTTCTCTTTACGTATGCGAGAATGGATTATACGAACAAATGGAGAAAAATGTATATTACGGTTTATTTTATATCACAGTTATTTATATTATAATATAAATCGTAAGATATCTATTTTTCTCGAATATTTTAACTTGATTCTCTATCATAATTTCCGACACTAATACATATATAATGTTGATCAATGTTGAGTTATTTTTAAAGTTTTAAATTAGGCTATTTTCATAATTATTAGCAAGTATGTTTGCAGTAAGTATTACTATAAGAATATTATAAGCGTATGATATACTTATACAGGGTAAAGCAATAACTCTGTTCAACTTGAATATTTTTGGTATATCTTTTGTATTCAAGGTGAGCAGAATTATTGCCTCATCCTGTATGTATAGCATGAGTTCATTCATTTAGATAAAAAAATATTGTTGAAATTTATTTCTTTTTAATATATGAAAAAATGTACTATAATCTTTATCTTTCAAGTAATAATTTAATTAGAAAGATCGCTTAACCATTTTTTACTACGAGCATCACAGCACGTCAGATTATATATTTATTAACGAAAAGTAATTTAACTTAAACTTATGTCAATTACATCTCATTGTAATACGTTAATTATAAAATAATCATTTTCGATCATTTCTGACTGACAAAATCCTTCGTTTCTCGACGTCTCTTCAAATTCGTATGAATTTTTCAAAAGATAAATATTACATAAAAAAAAGTACATGTATAATATGTATGTATGTACGCGCATGTATGTACATACACGTAATACTCGGTGTCAAATATTCGAACATATCGATCTTTAAAAAAAGAAATACATCAAACCTCCAATTCTTTTTATTTTTATTTTCTCTAACATTACTCATCATTTGTCAACTTTGAACGCGAACAAAATTTCTTCACTCTTAATAGATTTTTGAAACGTTGTGAAATCTTTGGTAGACATTTAAAATGTAGATAAAATTCATCGTATATTCGCGACATTTAGCAAACGTCGATTCAACATTCACACAATTACATACATCGAGATAACTCATACTAAACTAATCGTCCTTTCGATTTAAACGTTTAGAACATGAAAGAGTTCGATAATCCGAAAAACGAGACCGAAAGAAAACTTGGTCCGTATAAAAAAAAAATAAAGTAAAATATAAACATAAAAATAAAAAAAATAGAAAAAAGAGGAGAAAGTTTAAGGATGGGGGAAAACAAATTAAAATATAAACGGATAAAAAACAAGGAGGAGAAAACAAAAAATTGGACCAAAAAAATATCTAATACTCGGAACACAACGTGTAGTAATATTTACGTACGTATATACACATGCATATGTTGGATGTATGTATGTATTTTGTACCTCTCACGATCCTCGTGAGCCTCGTTGAAAAACTTTGCATTTTGAAAGTTATTTTTTTTTTTGTCGAGCAAGCCACTGTTTTACTTTCATATATATTTATATATACTATATTCATATATATATATATATATATATATATATAT